CCACGTGAACCTGGGTTTAGGGTTGAGGTGAAACAAAACCCTGGTGTTTGGTTTGGTTGTGGGAGGAGGGGGACTTTTTCAGGGCAGAGATGGGTGAGGTTGGAGCATGGCCCCTGCTGAGAAAACTTACGTGGGGTATGGGGTGGGTATCCCCTTCCTTTTGGAACCCTAGCCTATCCCTTGGCCAACCTCCATTTTGGGGGTGCGAGGGCTGGGCTAGAGCTAGGCTAACCTCTGTGCGTGTGAGAAGGGACTTGGAGCTTTCGGGTGGTATGATTTTGAAGGGTTAAAGTAGCGTTCGACAGGCTAACACTAACCCTTCAGGATACAGAGCGTTAAAGCCCCGTGACATCAAATTACGGGCTGACCGTGGAAAAAAACCCAATCACGAAACCACGCGACTTTTTCCGCGGAAGGGCTTGCCTGCCTATCGAACAGGGCCAATGGTCGCACGAACAGAGCCTTGGGATCTTCGCACACAATTCAGGCTCGAGCACTTATTCCAGAAAGCTCATCTTTCAGATTCCAGTCGAATTGTCAGGCAGTCGTTTTTCATTCAGCAATTTTTCAGATTCCCTTTTCTTCTTGACTTTCCTTCTAGGGAGCTTCCAGCCGACGTCTCTTTCAGAAAGACAACTTCTAATCGCCTTCTTCCACGCTCAGTTTCACCATGGCTAAGAAGAGCGTTAGTTCGTTGACTGAGGCTGACCTTAAGGGAAAGAGGGTGCTTGTCAGGGCTGATCTGAACGTCCCTCTAGCCGGCGATACGATCACTGACGACACGCGCATTCGCGCGGCCATTCCCACCATCAAGTACCTGACGGAGAAGGGTGCTAAGGTTCTTCTCGCGACCCACTTGGTGAGCCTTCGGAAAACATGTGTAAAATGCCTTTTCTAGGCCATTCTTGAAGCGAGCACGTTGATGCAGCTGTGTTGGTTGTCTACTCAATCATTAGCGCTGGATCTATGTCAGCATGTTTTTCACGACAATATTCTTTGTCGTCGTCAGTTAATCTGGCGGTTGTGTCGTATTGTCGTCCCATTCTCTTCCGTCCTCTCATTCTCGTGTTTTTTCAGGGACGTCCTAAGGGCGTCACCGAGAAGTACCGCCTGACACCTCTCGTTCCTCGGCTCTCAGAGCTTCTGGACCAGGAGGTCAGTATTGATCACTTTCTCTAATTTTTTTCCTATGTTTTCCTGCATATCATGCAAACCATCCAACGCCGTAACGCTAATTAACGCGAACACCAGAACATCTTTCAGCGCAGCATTTGCACATGGCTTCCTTCTCATCCAACCGAGTTAACTTCAGATATTTTGCGATCTTCTATTTTCTTCCTTTCCCCCGTGCGTTATGAGCAGGTGAAGAAGGTTGACGACTGCATCGGCGAGGTCGTCGAAAAGGCCGTCGCAGAGCTTAAGGAGGGTGAGGTGCTGCTGCTCGAGAACGTGCGGTTCCACCCCGAGGAGGAGAAGAATGTCCCGGAATTCGCGCAGCAGCTCGCGGCGAACGCGGATCTCTACGTCAATGACGCGTTCGGCACGGCGCACCGCGCGCACGCGTCCACGGAGGGCGTGACCAAGTTCCTGAAGCCGTCCGTTGCTGGATTCCTCCTTCAGAAGGTAAGCTTGATCTGCTCCTTTGTCAGTTTCATTCTTTTGCATCTTATATGTCTTGGTATCGGTTCACGACGGGGTCGGCACGGCGCACAGGGCGCACGCGTCCACGGAGAGCGTCACCAAGTTCCTGAAGCCGTCCGTTGCTGGAATTCGCTTCGCTTTTCTATGCGCACAACCTTCATTTATTAGTGTGATTTGGAATCTGTGAAACAGCTGATTTTTTTTGTTAACCCGGAATTCCTTAGCAAACGTACACAGCTAATCTGATGACATTCCAGCTAATCTGGTTGTGCTTCACGTTTTGCCGTTTCTCTCGCATGAAGCGCCATTCCCTTGATCTGTGTACTCGTTATTGTCTACCTCAGGAGCTGGATTATCTTGTTGGGGCCATCGCTGAGCCCAAGCGGCCGCTGGTGGCTGTCGTGGGTGGATCTAAGGTGTCCACCAAGATCAGCGTGCTGGAGTCTCTTATCAACAAGTAAGTTCCACGTTGCATCTCGCCTTTAGATGATTCCAGTCGTGACTGGGTCGGGACGGCTGATCTAGGTCGTGGGAGGGTCCAAGGTGTCTACCAAGATCAGCGTGCTGGAGTCTCTTATCAACATTCTCAATAAATAGGTTATCCGTTTCTGCGAGTTGCCGTCGTGTGGGGCTTCTACTTTTACTCGACTTAAATCTAGGCGCTAATGGCCATCGTGGGGAGGGTCCAAGGTGTTAAGCTTAGCGTGCTTGAATGTCTTATCAACAAGTAAGTTTCACGTTGCGTCTTGTATCTAGATGATTCTGGTTGTGGCTGTATAGGCTTCGGGACGGCTGATCCAGATCGTGGGAGGGTCCTAGGTTTCTACCAAGATTAGCGTGCTGGAGTCTCTTATCAACAAGTAGGTTAATTCTTCTCAATAAATAGGTTATTTGTTTCTGGTAGCCTTCGACTTGATTCCAGTTTTTACTGTCTATACTTTGTGACGGTTGATGGGGAATAGTTGGCGAGTCCAAGCTGTCTACCACATCAGCGTGCTGGGGTGTGGAGTTTTAAGCGTGCCACCAAGCTTGTCTTGAGGGTGAATACCCTTGTTCTTGTGTCAACCCTTCCCACCTTTTCCCCCACTTCCCGAACCGCCCTCCCTCCTCCCAGGTGCGACGCGCTGCTGTTGGGCGGCGGCATGATCTTCACGTTTTACAAGGCGCAGGGCCTGTCGGTGGGGTCGTCGCTGGTGGAGACGAGCCAGGTGGAGCTGGCGGCCAGCCTTATCAAGCTGGCCGAGGAGAAGAACGTCGACCTGCGCCTGCCCCTGGACGTCAAAGTCGCGGATAAATTCGATAACGGCGCGAATTCCAAGGTGAGACTACTCCAGGGCTGGGTGCAGTAGCGTTATCGTAAGAGAGGGGTTTGAAAGGAGGGGAGAACGGTGGAAGGGTGGAATGGGAAAAGGCGTGCTGTTGCTGCTGCAGTGTAGGGACAATCGGAAATTGAAGCGGAGCGTAAACCCAGTCCATGGTATCATGGCTGTCTCTCGTCAACAACCTATGTCTTCTGCTGCCCGTATATTCGCCACCCAGCTCTAGTCGGTACAGATGCCATGCCAAATGGTTGGATGGGTCTGTGAAACACCCCTGGCAGCATCAACGCATGTTCCTGGTTCCAGGTAAGTGAAGGGACAATGCTGGTGAAGTCGTTGTAGGCAATTTGATTCAAACGTGTGCCTCTCTTCTCTCTTCCTCCCCCACCCCTTCCCATCTCCAGGTGGTTTCAGCAGACTCCATTGAGGATGGCTGGATGGGTCTTGACATTGGTCCTGACACCATCGGTGCATTCTCTGGTGTGCTGGATGGCGCCAAGACCATCATCTGGAACGGCCCCATGGGCGTCTTTGAGATGTCAAACTTCGCTGGAGGAACCAATGTGAGTCCTGCTTCAAGTGATGCGAGAGACGCGGATGATGTGAGTGATGTGATTGTGATGGGATTTTGAGATTTCGAATTTTGCCGAAGGAACCACTGTGAGTGCTGCATCAAGTGATACCTGTGATGTCAAAGATGCGGATGATGCGAGGGATGCGAGTGTGATGCAAGTGATGCGAGTGACGTGAGTGACGACTGTCATGCCTCAAGTCGTCCGCTGTGCCTCCCAGCGTCCCTTTCCCTCCTTCGTTGCGTACACCCATGGAATTTCCAAAACGCCCTATCGCCCCCAACCCCACTCATGTTGCTTTGTTCAACTGCAGGCTATTGCCGCTAAGCTTGCAGAGATGACAGGAAAGGGTGCCACAACCATCATTGGAGGGGGTGACAGCGTGGCAGCAGTGGAACAAGCAGGATTGGCTGACAAGATGAGCCACATTTCAACAGGTGGCGGAGCCTCATTGGAGCTGTTGGAGGGTAAGGTGCTCCCTGGTGTTGCTGCACTTGACGAGGCATGAATAATTAGGGCTATGCAGCAGAAAATCTGCTGCTTTAGAGTTGTTGAACTGATAGTCAAGGCAGAGGAAATAGGTACTAGAGCATCTTCGAAAAATCATTGCATGTTTTAATGAATGCAGTCAGATGTGACGGAATGTCAGCACCGAGGCTTTTTTTTGGATTTTCACTACTCGGATTTCCAGAGCTGTTTTCTAGGGAACTCTGAAATTCAGGGTTTATTATGTGCGTACTCTGATTTGTCAGAGAAAACTGAGCTTCTGAAAAATATTCTCTGAGCTATCAGGGTTCCTATGTTTCCATCTCTGAATATCCTCTAAAGTATTGATCCCAGGCCTTCTGCACTCCTATCAAAAGTATTGACGTTGTTAATTTTATACCGTTGTTTTTATAGTTAATTTGCCAAACCATCTTCCACCAATTGGAAGGGGCCTCGGTCGAAATGCCTATACCCTTTACAGAGAAAAATACATTCGCCACAAATATACACTGGTCTCTCAGAGTAGCTAAAATCAGAACCCTGACAAATTAGAGAAAACTAATCTTCCAAAAAAAATACCCAGACACGTTAGTGACCCCCTAAAAACCACTCTGATTTTCAGAGAAACAGAGTAATTTACTCTGATAAAAAAACCCCTGGTCAGCACCTCTTTTGAACCAGATATATGTAATCCCAAAAATCAATCTGACCACCCCTGCGAATCATGAGGGAACATAAGGCAGTCCCTCAACTCCGCAAAACTCATTCTACTGGCAGTAGTTGCTGCAGCCTGTGAGGAAGCAGCAACCATCTGCAGGTATGAATTTTCCCACAGTTCAAGGCAAGAGCCAGGATAACAAGAATTCGGACGACATATGGTCCATTGCTGCTGCCCTTCTTCATGACCGGTTATTTTCAAACCAGTGGGATTTTTGAATCACCATCCCTTGCTCCCACCAGCAGCAACACGCATGGCAGGTCCCTAGACTGCCATCCTCTCCCACCCGCCCACCATCGGCAGAAGCTGCTGAACCTTGTCATACATCCCTAGCAGCCCTCCTGTATGTACAAACAAAACTCGCCGCCCCGCCCATTCGTCTGGATTCTGTTTCATGTCCTGTAGCAATCCCCTGAGAGCCTTGCCACTTTGGGAAGGAGGAATGGGAGAGGGAGGAGGGAGAGGGAGGGAAGGATGAGAGAGGAGATGCGGGGATCAGTTAAGGCTTTAATGCCACATAGAGCCACATAAACATATACACTCTAACGGACATAGTACCTGTAGACTGGGTCGAGCACTATGGCAGTGCAGTTAGCCACATAGACACGTATAAATACAGTATTACAAAAATGTACACATACGGTAGACATGTACACTCCAATGCACACACCTGTACAGGTCGAGCATTATGCTGGTGCTTTGAGCCACATAGATACATAATAACACAGTAACTAACATTTTTACATGTACACTAATAATACACTTTCACGCACATACCTGTAGACTGGGTCGAGCACTATGCCGGTGCTTTGAGCAACAGACTGCACCAGCTGAAGCTCCTCCTCCGTGCTCATAGCGTAGCCTGCCCCCTTCACCTGCTCACATGCTCATATGCACGCATTGAAGTACAGGCACATATACACACATGGACACATATGAATGCACACAGCGACACAGACTGGACTGCACCAGCTGAAGCTGCTCCTCTGTTGTGCTAATAGCATAGCGTGCCCCCTTTCACCTGGGAACATGCCCGCATACATACACAGGGATACAGACCCATATGAAAGCACACAGAGGGTCACAGACTTAACTGCGTCAGCTGAAGCTGCTCCTCTAAGCTCATGGCGTACCGTGGCCCCTTCACCTGCTCACACATGCATGTGTAGATACATTTGTGTGCATACATATGAAAGCACACAGGGGCACAGACTGGACTGCACCAGCTGCAGCTCCTCCTCCGTGCTTATGGCGTAGCCTGCCCCCTTCACCTGCTCACATGTGTACACAGGGACGCACACACACACACGGAATAGCCGGGAGTGTCACAGACACACAGGGAGCACTATGCCTATGCTTTGAGCCACGGTCTGCACTAGCTGAAGCTCCTCCTCTGTGCTTATGGCGTAGCCTGCCCCCTTCACTTGCTCATGCGGTCAGATCAATGTATGGGTGTACACGCACATATGCAGGCATGCGCGTATGGAGGTATAGGCACATATGCAGGCATGCGCGTATGGAGGTATAGGCACATATGCAGGCATGCGCGTATGGAGGTATAGGCACATATGCAGGCATGCGCGTATGGAGGAGGTATAGACACATATGAGTGCACACAGGGACACAGACCCTATCGCCACTGCACCAGCTGAAGCTCCTCCTCCGTGCTCATAGCGCAGCCTGCCCCCTTCACCTGCTCACGAGCACAGATGCACGTACGGAAATACAGTCACATGAGACAATCATGCATACAGGGTCGCAGTCCAGACTGCACCAGCTGAAGCTCCTCCTCCGTGCTGATGGCGCAGCCTGCCCCCTTTCACCTGGACAAATACACAGATGCACACATGCAGACATCCACGCACGGATGCATGCAGACTCATGCATGTGGAATGAAGCAGTTCGTCGGAAGAAACTCTCCCAGGCTTAGTTCTGATTCCGTCCAGCAGCCCCTGGAAGAAGGTGCTTTTTTGAGGCGCCTCACAACTAGACGCCTCAAAACTAGACGCCTAAAAAAAAAACAACTTCTGACTCCCTCCAGCAGCCCCTGGAAAAAGATGGGAGAGTCGCGAGTCGGCAATTCTCTTTCCTTTCCAATGGGCATGGATGAGAGAGAGGGTGATGAGAAGGCGGCTCACATCAATGACTTGCAGCGGTTCCTTTGAAGAGATGCTCCCAGGTGTTGACATGACTCCGTCCAGCAGCCCTTGAATGTAGTCGTAGAAGGAAGTAGGCGGGAGAGTCGCACACAGAGTAGGCATTCACTTCCCTTTCCAATGAACAGGGATGAGAAAGCGGGGAGTGAAAAGGAAGCTCACGTCAATGACTCGCAGCAGTTCCTTAGACGAAACGACCCCTGGCTTCGACGTGACTCCGTCCAGCAGCCCTTGAATATAGTCGTAGAAGGAAGTAGGCGGGAGAGTCGCGCACAGAGAAGGCATTCGGCATTGCAGGAGGAGTGAGAGGATGTGAGGCGACAACCCAGAAACCCTTACATCAATGACTCGCAGAAGGTTCCTTGAGTCAACACTCCCAGGCTTGGATGTGACTCCATCTAGCAACCCTTGAATGTAGTCGTAGAAGCAGCCGGGAGAGTTGCACATTGAGAGGGGAAGAGAGAGAGGGAAAAGCGAGGAGAGCTCACATCAATGACTTGCACCAGGTCCTTTGAAGAAACGCTCCCAGGCTTTGACGTCACTCCGTCCAGCAGCCCTTGAATGTAGTCGTAGAAGCAGGCGGGAGTGTCGCACACAGAGTGATGAAGAGAGAGGGGAGAGCGATACAAAGGACTGTTTGAGGGGAAAGTGAAGGGAACTCACATCAATGACCCGAAGCAGGTCCTTTGAAGCAACACTCCCAGGCGTGGATGTGACCCCATCCAGCAGCCCTTGAATGTAGTCGTAGAAATAGCCGGGAGAGTCGCACACAGAGTAGGCATGCACACGGGTAGAAGAGAGAGCACTCAGATGCACTCCCAGCGCCAACCCTGCTGAGGTGCCGCCACTGGGGGGGATGGTGTGGGGGAGAAGCGGAGGGAGAAGGACAACGAGGGTTGGTTTGAGGGAAGCAGGGAGTTGTGGAGGTAACTGTAAGTGTCGCACACAGAGTAGTCGTGCACGCGGGTAGAGGAGAGAGCACTCAGATGCACTCCCAGCGCCAGCCCTGCTGACGTGCCGCCACTAGGGGAGATAGCGTGGGGGTAGCAGGGAAGCAGGGAAGCAGGGAAGCAGGGAAGCAGGGAGGTGTGGGAGTAATTGAGAGAGTCGCACACAGAGTAGGCATGCACGCGGGTGGAAGAGAGGGCGCTCAGATGCACTCCCAGCGCCAACCCTGCTGAGGTGCCTCCACTGGAGGTGTTTTAGAAGTGAGATATGGAGGGACAGGTTGTCAAGAGAGGGGGAAGCGGCCAAAAAGAGTCGCACACTGCCAGAAGGCATGTGCAGTTATGAGGCGCCTCAAAAGCAGCCAAAAGGTGTCGCACACAGCCAGATGGCATGTCTGCTTTTGAGTCGACTCAAAAGCAGTTTTGAGGCGCCTCAAAAGCAGCCAAAAGGTGTCGCACACAGCCAGATGGCATGTGCGTGCAGTGAATGCCGTCTCATGCATATCTCCCCTCATCACAGCACTAAGCACTCACCTGCCACACGCCATGGCAATATCATCAAACCCGAAAGCACCCCCCGCCTCTCCTTTGCTCAACTGCTGCTCGATCTCCAGCCTCACCTCTATCTTTCCCCTCTATTCCTCACCTGCCACACGCCATGGCAATATCGTCAAACGCCGAAGCACCCCCCGCCTCGCCTCTGCCCAGTTGCTGCTCGATCTCTCTCACTGCCTCCATATACCCCCTGGTGGGACGGACATGGAAAGGGAGTGGTAACCAGGTAACATCAGGTGGGATGGTTGAAAGGAGGGTTACTATGAAGGAAAGACAGGTAATGCTCGACCTCCCTCACTGCCTCCATGTACCCCCTGGTGGGGCGGACAGGGAAGGGGAGGGGTGGTAACCAGGTAACATGTAGCTTTTGGTGTAATCAAACCCTGAAGCACCTCCCGCCTCTCCTCTGCTCAACTGCTGCTCGATCTCCCTCACTGCCTCCATGTATCCCCTGGTGGAATGGTGGTAACCGGGTAACAAGTAGGGGCGGACAGCAAAGGGGGTGGTAACCAAGTAACATGCCCCGAAATCATCAAACTCTGAAGCAACTCCAGCTGCTCAGCTGCTGCTCAATCTCCCTCACTGCCTCCATGTACCACCTGGTGGTGGGATAGTGGTAACCAGGTAACAAATAGGGGCGGACAGGGAAGGGGGTGGTAACTAGGTAACATGTGGCCCCTGGTATTGTCAAACCCTGTAGAACCCCCCGCCTCGCCTCTGCCCAGCTGCTGCTCAATCTCCCTCACTGCCTCCATGTACCCCCTGGTGGGTAGTGGTAACCAGGTAACCAGGTAGGGGGATGGGTGAAAGGAGGAAAAACAGCTGCTACTAAATCTCCCTTAGTGTTTCCATCCAGGTACCCCCTGGTGGGACATGGGAGGGGAGAGGGTAAACGTATAGGTGCCTAGAGCGGTGGAGCTCGCATCAAGGGTGTTGGGGGAGCTGAAAATCACTTTTGAGTCGACTCAAAAGCAGGGTGTTGGGGGGGCTCAAAGTCGACTCAAAAGCATATCGTGCTTTTGAGTCGACTCAAAAGCATAAAAAACAGAATATCTTCGCACACAAGCATATCGTGCTTTTGAGTCGACTCAAAAGCATAAAAAACAGAATATCTTCGCACACAAGCATATCGTGGAAAGCTTACCACTCCGCGTGTGATGAGTCGATTTTAGAGTCGTTTGACCCCCCAACAGGGTTGTTAAAATCGACTCATCACACAAGCATAGCATGGATAGCTTACTAACTACTCACCAAGTGCCAAGGGCGTTTGACCCCCCAACAGGGGCGGACACAAGTCTGAGGGAGGAGGAAAGGTCAAGGATATGTGTGAAGCACCTTATATTTACACTATCTTGAACTTACTACTCACCAAGTGCCAAAGGCGTTTGACCCCCCAACAGGGTTGTTGAAGCACCTTATATTTACACTATCTTCACACCGATTTAAAGCGTGCTTTACTTATTACTCACCAGGTGCCGAGGGCGTTGGAGCCCCCAACAGGGATGACGCAGGGCCTCCTTCCCTCTGCTGATGCTAGCCGCTCTTTTGAGGGGATAGCTGTTCGTCTGAGGCGCCTCAACGATTATAAGATGTATCTTTCACTGCGTGCTTCACTGTATTCTCACCAGGTGCCGAGGGCGTTGGAGCCCCCAACAGGGATGACGTACGGCTTTCTTCCCTCCGCTCCTAGCCATTGTTTCAAGACACCTCAAAGGTTCATAGCATGATTTACTGAAAGAGTTCTCACCAGGTGTCGAGGGCGTTGGAGCCCCCAACAGGGATGACGTAGGGCCTCCTTCCCTCTGCTGCTCACTGTACGGCAAGTAGCTCCCCCAAGTGAATCCTGTGTCACGTGAATACATAGCATGCTTCACCATTCTCACCAGGTGCCGAGAGCGTTGGAGCCCCCAACAGGGATGACGTACGGCCTCCTTCCCTCTGCTGCTAGCCGTTCAGCAAGCACTTTCCCCAGATGCTGCACGAGAGGGGTGGGGGTGAGAAAACGGGTAGGGGATGGGGGGAGGGGGAGTGAAAGGAGACTGTTTAGAGACGTCTCAAAACTCAAAAGTCATGAGACGTCTCAAAAATTGTTCAGAGATGGTACATGAGAGAGTCTGACCCCCCAACTAGGATGACATAGGGCCTCCTTCCCTCAGCTGCTAGCCGCTCGGCAAGCACCTTCCCCAGATGCTGCACGGGGGAGTAAAAGGGGGTGTGGTGTGGTGGGGGGAAAGGATGGGGCGAGAAAAGGGGAGTGACAAACAAACAGGGATGATGTACGGTCTCCTTCGCTCTGCTGCTAGCCGCTCGGCAAGCACCTTCCCCAGATGCTGCATGGAGGGGGGGAGAGAGTAAAAGGAGTTGGTTACAAATGGTACATCTGATCTGAGCACTGGTTACCACCACAATCCGCTCCACTGGCGAAACGTTCTTGTGACATAATTCTCAGCGAGCAGCAAACTTAGCCAGGCTTTAATCAAAGGTACATCTGATCTGAGCACTGGTTACCACCACAATCCGCTCCACTGGCAAAAACGTTTAGAAAAAACACAAAGCCTTTCCCCCTCCCTCGCTCTCCCTGTTGCCTGCCCTCCCAGCCCTCCGCCTCACCTCGCTGCCGTGCTTGGCGTACTCCTCTTTGATCACCAGATGCACCTTCGGACCCACCAGTCACTGCTGCAGCGGCAAGCACACCCACCCACCCGGGCCACCCTCGATCCCTTCCCCCCCTTCTCACCTCGCTGCGGTGCTTGGCGTATTCCTCTTTGGTCACCAGATGCACCCTGGCCCCCACCATGCACTCCACCAGCGCATGTGCTCTGAGCTCACACTAAAGCCTCCCCGCCTCCTCTCGCCCCACCTCACCTCGCTGCCATGCTTGGCGTATTCCTCTTTGGTCACCAGATGCACCCTGGCCCCCACCAAGCACTGCTGCGGTCCCAACGATCCCCTCTCACCACCCCATCCCATCTCACCTCGCTGCCATGCTTGGCGTATTCCTCTTTGGTCACCAGATGCACCTTCGCCCCCACCATGCGCTCCACCAGCAGATTGCCTTCCAGGCCCGGATCAGAGCCTGCCAGCGCCTGACGAGGGGGGAAAGAAGGAGGAGATTCACATGCAAGGTGTGCACCTTTACACATGCCCCCTGGCCAGATGCACCCTCGCCCCCACCATGCGCTCCACCAGCAGGTTGCCCTCCAGGCCCGGATCAGAGCCTGCCAGCGCCTGGTCAAGTCAAGGGGAGGGGCGATAGGTGGTCATGGATAGAGTCATAAGAGGAGCACCATTCGCTCCACCAGCAGGTTGCCCTCCAGGCCCGGATCAGAGCCTGCCAGCGCCTGATGAGGGGGGAAAGAAGGAGGAGATTCACATGCAAGGTACGCACCTTTACACATGCACCCTCACCAGATGCACCCTCGCCCCCACCATGTGCTCCACCAGCAGGTTGCCCTCCAGGCCCGGATCAGAGCCTGGCAGCGCCTGGTCAAGTCAAGGGGAGGGGCGATAGGGGGTGATGGATAGAGTCATAAGAGGAGCACCATTCGCTCCACCAGCAGGTTGCCCTCCAGGCCCGGATCAGAGCCTGGCAGCGCCTGGAGGGAGAGGAAAGAATGAAAGGGCAAGGGCAAGGGGTGAGAACCACAGGGGAGGAGGAGAGTTACTGCCAAGGGATGCACCCTCGCTGCCCCCACCATGCGCTCCACCAGCAGGTTGCCTTCCAGGCCCGGATCAGCGCCTGTGAGCGCCTGTTGAGAGGAAAGAGAGGGCGGAACATTAAGGGAGCAGAGCAGTGAAGGAACGACAGCAGGAAGCTTGTATGTATGCACCTTCGCCTCCACCAGCAGATTGCCCTCCAGGCCTGGATCAGAGCCTGCCAGCGCCTGATGGGGGGATACGGGAAGAGTGAAGGGGAGATGGTGAAGGGAAAAGGCTATTGCCACGGGATGCACCCTCACCAGGTGCACCTTCGCCCCCACCATGCGCTCCACCAGCAGCAGATTTCCTTCCAGGCCCGGATCAGAGCCTGCCAGCGCCTGGAGGGGGGGGTGATAGGGGGAAAAGGGAAGAATGACACATACACCCTCACCAGATGCACCCTGACCCCTAACATTTGCTCCACCAGCAGATTGCCCTCTAGGCCTGGATCAGAGCCTGCCAGCGCCTGGTGAGGGGCGGGGGGAATGAGAGCAAGAAGGGGAGCAAGGGAGTAAAGGAAACACAGCAGGTGGGCCAGACACATGCACCCTGGCCAGATGCACCCTGGCCCCCACCATGCGCTCCACCAGCAGATTGCCCTCCAGGCCCGGATCAGAGCCAGCCAGCGCCTGGTGAGGAAGAATGAAGGGGGCGAGAATGAAGGGGGAGCACGTAGTGAAGGGGAAGGGTTACTGCCAAGGCATGCAACTTGGCCCCCACCATCCTCTCCACCAGCAGATTGCCCTCCAGGCCCGGATCTGAATCTGCTAGAGCCTGGTGCGGGGGCGATAGGGGGTAAAAGGGAAGAATGATAGGGAAAGAATGACTGCCTAAGCTTGCACCCTCGCCCCCACCATGCGCTCCACCAGCTACTTGCCCTCCAGGCCTGGATCAGAACCTGCCAGAGCCTGGCCAGAAGAAAAGAACGAAGAGTGAAGGGAGCGATACAATATGACAGTTACATTTAACGCCCCTCCCCCTCCCCTCGCCCTCCTCAAACCCTCCGCTAACCCCCCCTCCCCAGACCCCCTTCATGAGGTGACTTTTAAGTCGACTCAAAAGTCTCCTTCAACGCTCCTCCCCCTCCCCTCACGCTCCTCAAAGCCCTCGCTAAACCTCCCTTCCCACATCCCCTTCATCCTCCTCCACCATGCGCGCTACACCAGCAACCCCCCCCCCCCCCCTCTTTTTCCCCCTTCCCCTCAAGCCCAGCTTCCTCACCCGGCTGGTCCTCAGGATAAGGTGCGCCTCGAGCCCGGCCAATCGCGCGGCGACAGCTGTCGCGCGGCAATGATTGCTCTGGATGCCTCCAATGGTGATGAGCGTGTCCGCTCCTTTAGAGAGCGCGTCTGCTAGAAGGAACTCCAGCTTGCGCACCTGATGATTGTGATTGAGAACATACATACATAAACATATATATATATATATTTATATTTATATCATTACTACATCAAAGGGAGTACACTCTGGATGCCTCCAATGGTGATAAGTGTGTCTGTTTATGGGGCGTCAGCAAGCAGAAACTGCAGCTTGCGCACCTGATGATTGTGATGGAATACACACATATTAACGATATTAACGTATACAAATGCATGATTTCATAAGTATTTATATCAACAACTGTCTCAAAAGTACACTGTGGATCAATCACCGGCTTCCATCGCTTTCTCTTCTCCTCAAGCCGTCTCTTTCATCTAACGATCCGCCTACTCCCTGACGCGCTCTCTCCCTCCCCTTCCCTCACCTTGTTGCCGCTCAGCTCCATTCCCGAGAGATCATCCCTCTGTTCAGGGAGGAGACCGGTCACCGGCTTCCATCACTTTCTCTTCTCCTCAAGCCGTCTCTTTCATCTAACGACCCGCCTACTCCCTGAGCTCAAACTCTCTCCCCATCCCTCTCCCTCACCTTGTTGCTGGCTCAAAAGTGAACTGCCGATCACTCACAGGCTTCCATCGCTTTCTCTTCTCCTCAAACCGTCTCTTTCATCTAACCATCCGCCTACTCCCTGACCCGCTCTCTCCCTCCCCTTCCCTCACCTTGTTGCCGCTCAGCTCCATGCCTGAAAGATCATCCCTCTGCCCAGGGAAAGGGGACAGCAGGAGAACCAGGAGAACAAAGCAAAGGCCAGGCCGTCCACTCACTCCCTGAACCTCTCTCTCCCCATCCTCCTCCCTCACCTTGTTGCCGCTGAGCTCCATTTCTGAGAGATCATCCCTCTGCTCAGGAAGAAAAGGCAGCAGTAGAGGAAAGTCCACCCACTCATTCCCCAAACCTCTCACTCCCCATCCCCCTCCCTCACCTTGTTGCCGCTCAGCTCCATTCCTGAGAGATCATCCCTCTGCTCAGAAAGAGGGCAAGGACAGCAGAGGAGGAACAGAAATAGTTTTTCCAGCGTCAATTCCCCTCGTACTAAAAGAACAGAACAAGCAAACATGCAAGAATGTATCTGGGAGGTTTGCTAATATGACGTCTTTGTGAGGGGAGAGGAGACAGGAACTTGGGAACTGAAGAGTAGAACCGACACTGTGACTAATAGCTTGCTGACCTTAATGCAGAGCTCGGTGCTTTGAGGGAGATCTGGAACATTCCACCTATGACTTTTGAGTCGACTCAAAAGTGACTTTCGAGTCGACTCAAAAGCCACTGTGACTAATACTTGGCTCACCTTAATGTAGAGCTCCATGGCCGGTGGGGGATTTGGAATGTCTTTTGAGACGTCTTAGAAGTCGACAGTGTCACTGACCTTTATGTATAGCTCCGTGCCGGGTGGGAGATCTAGAATGTTCCACCGGTGAATAGGTGTGGGGCGCTGGTTGCAATAGAGAGAATGCGGGGTTTGCAAGGACATAGAAAGCAGAGAGGGAGTATGGATGAGTGTGCTTATTTGGGCGTGTAAGGCACCATGCCGGGTGGGAGGTCTGGAATGTTCCACCGGTGAATAAGGCGTGAGGTGCTGGAATAGAAAGATGAGGATCAGGGGATTCAAACGGTTGGGCGGGGGAGAGAAAGAGGGAGGCATTGAGAATTGTGCTTGTGCAGCGATACGGCTCTGCGCTCTGTGGGAGGCGGATGTATAGATAAGGCTCCGTTCCATGTGGGAGATCTGGAATGTTCCACTGATGTAGCGTTTCATCCTCATCCTTGTTCCTTATCATCAACGTTTCAAATCCCATTCCGGGGGTTATATGCTGCACCATTCCGAGGAAACGTCTCAGCGACAAGTAACCCGATTAGGGAAACCTCATGTTCCTACGGCAACACCATACTCACATGTGCGAGAGTGAGGAACTGGCTGGGCAGGGGGTTCAAATGAGAGGCCCATTCCGGGGGGTTATATGGCTGCAGCGACAGGTAACCCGATTCTGGAAACTTTCTGCTCCTGCTCCCATCCTCGTTAGAGACGGCAGCGTTAGCAGCAATAGGCTCCGCGGTGTGAGAATCCATGTTTGATGCCATTGCTCGCGGAATCCGGCTTTTGGAAGGCGCTGAAGAGAAACTCCTAGAAGCTGCCGCTGGGGCCACTACGAGCTTTTTTGACAGATGAGTGAGAGGAAAGCTGGAGCTTGAAAGGGTTCGCTCAGGAGCTGTTGTCGGTCGATATAAACAGACGTGCCTCTGGAGCAAGGACGAAGCGCATACTGTGGTGCGCATTGGACCAATAAAGAGAGTCCAAGGGAGGTTGCTGTAACAGACTGCGTCGTTACCCAAGCCGCGGGAATTCGCGTTGCAAATGGGACGATAAGTGAACGATTCTGGAGTTTCGAAACTGTTTGGTGCTCAGAACTCCTTTTCGTGCTGTTGCCTGTTTCGGCCACTGAGGACCGGAGAGTGACTGGCTGCTGCCTGAGTTGCATTACTGCGCATAAGCTCAGAATCCCAGGAAAACTCTGCTCTGGTGCAATGAATTTGTCAGAGAATGCTGTGAGATCTCGTCCTTGATATTAGCAGGGTCACCGTTTCGATAGAGAGCTTCGAGTTGATAAGGTGGTAGGGCGAAACTGTCTGGCAGCGGCATATTCTGTTTTTTGTTAGGGTGAACTTGGACTTCGTTTACAATCACAAAATCTGGAAATTGTTCAATTTGTAGGCAATGTTCAGTGACATCCGCAGCGAAACCCAAACACAATCTTGAAAGTCGTTACAGTGCGCCACGTGCCAACCCGCCCGTTGAGTCAACCAGTCATATTACGACACGCCAGACATGGAGTCAACATTTTCGCTGACACAATCCAAAAAGTTCCCAGCAAGCGATCATTCACAGCTGGTTACCAATATTTCCCGCTTCCTCAGGAGCGCAAGCAGAGCGGATGCTTGTGCTGGAGTCTCCCTCCCTGATGGAAATCATCATAAAAGAGGGAGCTCTTGTTTAAAGGATTTTTGCTGCTAGTCCACTATCAGATAGCACTGCGGGACAGTGCAAAATTCAGGGGATTTTAGGTAACTTCCTCCATTTCCGGCTGTTTGACATTCTCTGATCCAATCATGGCTGCCATTTCCGCGTCCAAAGCAGCTGTCGCAAGCGCAGCTGCCTTCAAGCAGTGCGGATTCTCCTCGGGAGAGAGCTTCGGAGAGCAGTCTCTGGTGCTTAGGAACACTGTCCACCTCAAGAACAAGAACCAGGCTGCTCTGTCATGCCGAGCAAGCGTCGCTTCAGGTTGATTACATGTGACCATCCCCAGTCAATCACTTTCTCTTTAGCCAAAGAGCGTTTCGTTGCAGAGTCTCCCTCACATTCGCTACTTTTTGCCTTCATGTGCTCTTCTCACAACGATCACGCGCATACGCATTATTCTGAGTTACCTCATTTGTGAATTCGTGCAATTACAGAGACCGTGAGCGCTTCTTCACCTGCGTCGACAGAGGATCCCTTGCTGCTGAGGGCCGTCAGGGGCGACAAGGTGGAGAGGCCTCCAGTCTGGCTCATGAGGCAGGCTGGTCGGTACATGAAGGTAATATACTTTAGCAAATTTTGATTGGTCGGAACATGAAGGTAAAAAATCACCTTCTTCCACGTCGGAACGTGGAGGTAAGATACTTTTGCAATTAATCATGAGTGGTGATCACAAACAAAAATATCCTTTCATCTTGCGGGCCATTGCTAATAGTTCCGACGTTTGTTTCCACTTTCAGGTGTATCAAGACCTGTGCAAGAAGCACAAAACTTTCAGGGAACGCTCTGAGAATGTCGACCTCTCGGTCGAGATTTCTCTCCAGCCGTGGAGGGCCTTCAAGCCAGATGGAGTAAGGACAGAGAATTCAGTATTTTGAATCATTCCTTTCGAATGGTCGTTCGTCTACAGCTTTTCCTGTTGGTGGATTCTCATGATAGTTTTCTTTGTGTTCTCATGGATCCAGATCATCCTGTTCTCTGACATTCTGACGCCTCTGACCGGAATGAACATTCCGTTCGACATCGTTCCCACTAAGGGCCCGATTATCCATGACCCTATTAGAACTGCCGCGGATGTCGCCAAGGTGCAGCCTCTGGACCCGGACACTGCGTTGCACTACGTCGGCGAGACCCTCCAGATTCTCCGGAAGGAGGTGAGAATCACACGCTCGATGGAGTATAAAAAAATAAAGCAGCCGCGTGTTCCATCTCCTTCCGTAACACTATTTACATCCCGATTCCCTCGCACATAATAAGTCGTTGAGCAAGGCATACATTTGGAACCATATACCTCGTTACCGTCTCTGTGGGTTTATCCCTGGTATACTCCGTGGTGGTAGCAACCAAGAGCGAAATTATATTTATGGCCCAGGAAACCCAATAGTGAAGAAAGTACTAGACTGACGACGCATCTGTTCAATTCAACGAATTAGCAACAGCATTCTTACGGACGCGACATTGCTGGATCTCCATTTTCACTCTGAATTCCGTCTCTCCCTGTCATCCACGTTCCATTTGCAACACCATCTCCGACTTACTCGACCCGCTTTACCCTAAATGAATCGTTGTACACCGTGCTTTCCTCTGCAGGCTGCAAACCAGTCAACTGTCCTCGGTTTCGTGGGTGCTCCCTTCACAATGGCGTCATACATTGTCGAGGGTGGCTCGTCCAAGAACTTCTCCATCATCAAGAGGATGGCATTCTCAACCCCAGAGGTGCGGATAGCATTTGACAGGTTCAACGTTAGATGGTATAAGCTGGTTCAGGCAGTGTAGTCCTTACCATGGTCGTGGCCTGGCGCTAGCTTTTGACTGGTTTAACGTTACCTGGACGAGTTGGTTCAGCCAGCGCACTTGAAAACCCTTCCCATGGCTTCTTAGCCAAGCTCATTCATGCAAAGTTTCCACCTGTATTTTGACCTAACCTTCTCTGTGTTGGTGTTGATTTATCATCATCCCTGCAGATTCTGCATGCGCTGCTTGCCAAGCTGGCGGAGTCCACTGTGCGCTACATGCGTTACCAGGCAGACAATGGTGCTCAGGCCATTCAGATCTTCGACTCTTGGGCCACCAGCCTTTCTCCTTGCGGTACGCCCTTGTGTTTCCCCCAAAACGGCTTCTTACAGTTCTTTCGTTAGTCAACAGCAGTGTCCCAGTCTGTATTCGTCACCATTTGTTTTTCCTGAATTTTGTTGTGTTACAGGTGTTGTGCTCCTTTTTTATCCTGGCTCATGAGCTGACATGCTCTGTGTGCGTACATGTATGTGTGATTTGGCAGACTTCGAAGTCTTCAGTCTGCCATACATCAAGCAGATTGTGGCTGAGGTGAAGTCCACCCACCCTGACCTGCCCATCATCCTCTATGCCAGCGGCAGCGGTGGCCTGCTTGAGCGGATGTCTAAGACTGGAGTCGATGTTGTCAGCGTGGACTGGACCGTTGACATGGCTGAGGCTCGGGAGAGGATTGGCAAGGACATTGGTGTGCAGGGTAATGTGGACCCGGCGATTCTGTTTGGTTCCAAGGAGACGATTACAGCGAGGATCCATGAGACAGTGGCGAAGGCAGGATCGCACAAGCACATTCTCAACCTTGGCCACGGTGTCTTGATAGGCACCCCAGAGGAGAATGTGGAGCATTTCTTCTCGGAGGCACTCAAGCTTAGGTATTAGTGCACCTGGATAAAAATATCCAATCTACCTGAATTTGGTTTTATCCTGCAGTTATCTCTGTACCATGAAAGCATCTGCTCTGTTACGTTGTTCATGTGGTTTGACATAGAGCTGGAAAGCTAACAAACAAGGACCTTATAAAGAGCACTGCCAGTTGCGTCACCGACTTCGATCGGGTTTCTGGCGGAACGCCATGGACAGCGTTCTGCTCAACATATCCAGGTTTAGTTCGGTGACGCACGTTTCCTTACTTGTATTGCCTGTTACACAGCGGTTCTCTACTTTGTAATTGGACGTCACGCTCTTTTTAATCACGTATCAGTGACGACCCCAAGCCAATCAAGTTCAAGCGGAGGGAGTCGTGTTTTTCGGGTTGGGTACATACAAATCCACCACCGAGGCTCCAAAATTTGCAAATCAAATCCATCACCCATCATTATTTTTTTGCTGGTGTACTTCGGTTTGCTATCATCCAGCTCAGCCATTACAGCCATTATCTTGCTCAGGCTCTCCTCATACAATCATTGGATCCGAGATTCCGCATTGCACGCTGGCTCTCCCCCACCTCTCGGTAGGTTAGAAAGGAGTAGAGAGGACGGTATGTCGACGTACTGGTGGGAACAATTAGCTCTGCGATCGCGTTTCGAAGTGCTGGTTACCTCCGTGTCAGCCGCTGACACCACGGATTCAAATTAGTCACATTCAGGAAGCCTGGCCACTCGTAGTTGTCGAGAATGATCTGCCTTCTTTCGTGAACTCGACACGCCGAATAGTCGCTGCACTCTACGCTTTTGAGATATTTCCTCAAATGATCTAACGATCAAGCATGGCGAGACACCGTCGATTCCCCTCTCAAGACAGCTTCACACTGCTGCCACGTGTACAGTCGAAACCCCGCTCGTAGGAGGCGAAGCAGTCGAAATCAGAGCGCGCGGGATCTGTCAGTGCGCAGTCGGTAGGGTTCGGCCTCGGCTTTCCACTCTTTGAAGACTCCAAAACGGCCATTGAATCACTTCATTTCACTCTATCGCGACCGGGGGAATCCTGATACAAGCCGTGACTTTTTAGATTCCTCTGCCTTGGGATTACACGCTATTCGATCTCGGCTCGCGCTGCTTCCCGCTGCGCCAACTGGGGCAGGCAGCCGGTCGTCAGTTGGTTAAATTCCTCTGCCTTGAGATTACACGCGACTCAAGCTAGTCGCTTACTGCTCTCCACTGCTCCCCACCGCTCCCCACCGCTCCCCAACGCTCCCCACCGCTCCCCACCGCTCCCCGCCGCCCTCCACCGCATCCACTGTACCAGCTACACCCACCATGGGAGCCGTACCTCCCGGTCTCGCCCTGATTCAGTACCTGCACCGGCGACGAAGCTCCCGCCATTACACCACCGCTACATTCACATCCGCTCCTTTCACATTCTACGGCCAGCAGACCTCCGTCCTCGTTTTAACCTTCCTCGCTTACGCCCTCTTCCACGCCACCCGGAAACCCCCCAGTATTGTCAAAGCGGTTCTGAATCCGCTCCCCGCGGCCCCCCTCGCGTCCCCCGAGTTTCCCGCCGAGATTCCCGCCGCGAACCCCCCCCCTTCGTCCACGCAAGGGTTGCCGAGATCCCCGCCGCCAAACGCGGCGCATTCCCCGCCTCCCCCGCCGCCTGGGAGAAAGACCATAGAGGTTGGCGCCGGCGGTAGGGTCTATGGAGTCTATAGGCCGGACACTACGGATTCGGGGTTGCACGGCAGTATCGCGGAAAATAGTGCTCCAAAGGGCTATGCTGATTGGGAAAGAAGGCAGCAGGCTTATAGCGAGGATGAAGTGCGGAGAAGTGGTGATGAAGAGGTGGAGGGCGGGAGGCGATTGGAGGAGGTAGGGGACGGCAGGAGAGGAATGGAGAGGCGGAAATTGAAGCGGTTTGTAGGTTCATGGCGAAGGGAGTCACCTGGTGGCGATTGGCGATGGGATGCTGGCGATGGGCGAAGGGGGTTACCCGCTGGCGATGGGCGAAGGGAATTAGCTGTTCAGGCTGTGATGAAGAGACAAGAAGCAACGAAAAGCGCAAGTACATTGGGACCTGTGCATGCCTTTGGAACCAACAGTTCTGGATCAGCAGCAGCAGAAGCAGCAGGAGGACGAGCAGGAGGAGGAGGAGCAGGAGCAAACAACAGTTTATCAGTGCAAGTCGGGAAAGTGACAGAAGCAGCTAAGGCAGCAGCGGGGGCAGCAGGAGCAGCTGTAACCGCAGCAGAAGCAGCAGCAGGAGCAGCAGCAGGAGCAGCAGTCGACGCAGCAGGAGCAGCAGGGGTAGCAGCAGCAAGAGCGTCAGCCGCAGCAGCAGGAATCGACTCTTCTAAAGGCCACCATTCTGGTCTAAACACGTATGGATGGGCCCCCTTTAACGGGACGAATGGCCAGGCGCTACTAGGCGAGCTTGATGTGGCATTCTTGGCGTCTTATGCTGCAGGCATGTATGTCGCAGGGTCTTGTGGGGATAGAATGGACCTCAGGGTGTTTCTTTTTGTCGGAATGCTCGGTTCGGGCATCTTCACGTGCCTCTTCGGAGTGGGGTATTTCCGGGATATACACTCTCTGGGGTATTACCTCGTCGTTTCGGTGTTTGCGGGGGCGTTTCAGTCGATCGGGTGGCCCTGTGTGGTTGCAATCATGGCACGGTGGCATGGGAAAAAGGGCCGGGGATTGGTCTTAGGCATGTGGAATGCTCACACTTCCTTTGGGAACATTTTAGGTTCGTTATTAGCTGCTGCGTCTCTTGCTTCTGGCTGGGGCTGGGCGTTTCTCGTCCCCGGAATTGCAATACTCGTAGCGGGATTCATTGTATTACTATTCCTGCCGCCTGGGCCGGAGGAATTGGCGTTTGAGCCTCCAGAGGAAGAGGAGGAGAAGGAGAAAGTGGTAGAGATGGCGATGGTGAGTGGAGGGGTGGTGGGGATTGGAGGGGAGAGAGTGAGTGTGGGGCCTGGTGGGGTTATGTATAGCCCCGTGAGCACAAAGGATGTTGGAGGAGTGGGGAGCGGTTCAAATGATGTCGGTAGCGGTGCTGCTGGTGCTGCTGGTGGCGCTGGTGCTGGTGATGGTGGTGCTGGTAGTAAATCAGTGGCAGGTGATACATTTGTAGGTGAAAGAACAGGGAGAGGAGACGAAGGCAGGAGAAGAGGACAGTTAGGGGAAAAGGGAGACTCAACAGCAATTGCCCTCAGCCAGAAACCAGCAAGAGAAGGAACTTCAGCAGCAGAAACCGGGTTAACACATGACAGTGGTAGCTCAGCAACAGCCGCTTTATCCAACCATGTGATTACTCCACAAAACGGGACCCACAATAACGAGGATGGGGGAGCCAGATCCCCGCCTCCCAAGCTACGCCCTCCCCCAAACCAGCGCCAGCAGCAGCAGCAGCACCAGCAGCAGCAGAAAGACGTGTCAACTTACGACGACGACAGTGCCGGGCTGCTAGAAGAACTAGAGACGGCAGCCGGATCAATCGCCAGTATGCGTTCAAGAGCCCGTGGCAGCAGCAGCGGCGGTGAGGGGGGGGATCGCGCGGTGGGGTTTTTAGAGGCGTGGCGGATTCCTGGCGTGGCGCCGTTTGCTCTCTGCCTGTTCTTTGCCAAGCTGGTCGCCTACACGTTCCTCTACTGGCTGCCATTCTTCATCAGCCGAACGGGTGAGTAATAAGCGCACAGGTTGGGTGACAGACGCTCAAGGTGGGTGGCGTATGCCGGATCGATCGCCCATATGCGTTCAAGAGCCAGTGGCAGCAGCCACAGCGAGGGGGGGGGGTCGTGTGGTGGGGTTTCTGGAGGCGTGGCGGATCCCTGGCGTGGCTGCGTTTGCCCTCTGCCTATTTTTCGCCAAGCTGGTGGCATACACGTTTCTGTACTGGCTGCCATTCTTCATCAGCCGAACGGGCGGGTGGGTGTCAGAGCATACAGGGGAAGGGGAGGAGTTTGCCCTCTGCCTGTTCTTCGCCAAGCTGGTGGCATACACGTTCCTCTACTGGCTGCCTTGTTTCATCAGCCGCACGGGTGAGTCCAGAGCACTGCTAGTCTGGTAGAGGAGTGGGCAAGGAGTGGGGTGATTGGGCGTGGCGGCATACCATACCATATTATACCATACTATACCATATTATACCATACCATATTATTCCATACTATACCATATTATACCATACCATATTATACCATACCATACCATACCATACCATACCATACCATACCATACCATACCATACCATACCATACCATACCATATTATACCATACCATACCATACCATACCATACCATACCATACCATACCATACCATACCATACCATACCATACCATACCATACCATACCATCCCATACCTTACCATGCCATACCATACCATTCCATATCCATACCATAACATACCGTAGCTCCTCTTACGCACGATGTGGCATTTTGTAGGTTCTTGTAGAAGAAGAAGAAAAAAAAAAAATCTATTTTCGAGGCGCCCCAAAAATCACCGATGTGGCAAATTCTAGGTTCTTATATTAGACGGTGAAGATGGATGAAGAGGAAGAACAAAATCTATCAGATTTCTGGCCTGCTCTGCCTGCACTACCTCCCCACCAGAAATCGAGGGTCGGAACCTCTCTGACTGACGCGCAATCTGGCATCATGTCTACAGTGTTTTTTAGCCGACTCAAAAACAGGTCAACCGTGTTCGACGTGGGGAAGACTGACCTTTTCTGAAACTGCTCTCCTGCTCTGCCTCTTCACGCTCCCTGCCCTGTGCTTCTCCCCCCTCTACTGCCCTGCCCCTTCCCACCAGAAATCGAGGGTCGGTACCTCTCTGACGCGCAATCCGGCATCATGTCTACAGTCTTCGACGTGGGCGGCGTGGTGGGCGGCATTCTCGCCGGCCATCTCGCCGACCAAACCGCCGCCCGCGCCACCGTTTCGGCATCTTTCCTCCTCCTCGCCGCCCCGGCTCTAGCTGCCTATTTCCTCCTAGGAGGCGTCTCCCTGTGGGTGAATATCCTCCTTTTAAGCCTCTCCGGTGTGCTGGTTAACGGCCCTTACGCGCTCATCACTTGCGCAGTGTCTGCCGATCTTGGGCAGCATAAAAGTTTGCAAGGGAATGCCCGAGCGTTGGCTACAGTAACTGCGATCATTGACGGGACGGGATCAGTTGGAGCAGCATTGGGGCCGTTTATAACAGGGTTTATATCGCAATTAGGAGGAGGAGGAGGAGGAGGAGGAGGAGGAGGAGGGATAGGAGGAGGGGGGTTGAGTGGGTGGGGTGCTGTTTTTGTGATGCTTGGAGTGTCTCTAGTAGCGGCTGTATTGTGTATTGGAGGGTTGGTTGTGGAGGAGGTTAGGGGGATGGTGGAGGGGAGACGAGGGTCGGCGGCAGGGCGGCAAGGTTTGGAACAAGCAGCTTTGGAAAGAAGACCACTGCGATTAGAAGAAGGTAAGAACATATAGTGTGCTACATTATTTCGGTCATTACCTGTTTATTACCCGTTAAGAACCTTAGGTTGTATGGGAGACAAGCTACCTGTTTGTTAATATATGAGTGTATGTTTGTTTGGGAACAATGCCTTCAGTGGGAGGCATATCATGCATGGGATGCATGGGAACCATACCTTATATGGGAACCATACCTTATATGGGAACCATTCCTTACATGGGAACCATTCCTTATATGGGAACCATACCATATGGGAACCATTCCTTATATGGGAACCATACCATATATGGGAACCATACTTTATGAGAGAAGATGTGGGAATCCATACCATATGTGGGAATCCATACCATATGTGGGAATCCATACCATTTGTGGGAACCATACCATATGTGGGAACCATACCATACCATATGTGTAAAACCTTTTCATAAGTGGGAATCCACGCCATATGTGTAAACCATACCATATGTGGGAACCATACCATATGTGTAAAACCTTTTCATAAGTGGGAATCCATACTGTCTGTGGGGGCCATACCATATTTGGGTGTCATACCGTATGTGGGAACCATACCATATGTGGGAACCATACCGTATGTGGGGACCATACCATATTTGGGAACCATACCGTATGTGGGATCCATATGTTGTCCGTCAAGCTTGCTGTTTGTTTGGGGGTTGCTGCTCTCTCTCTCCAGATTCTTGTACCTATCTTGTGTTCCCTGTCCTGGTGTATTGGTGTGTTTCTTGTGCAGGAGGTTGAGCCGGAGTGTTGCTATTTCCTTGGTAATCTGAGGTGTAACATTTTTGCACCGTAGACAACTTTCATGCTAGAAAGGCATAGTGCCAGCGTAGAGGAAACGTGTTTGTAGAAAGAACAAGATAGAACACTTGCACTGGAAACGGATTGAGAATTTGATGGATTTTAGGCAATACAAACAAGCTTGATATAGCATGCATGATCTAATGATGGAAAGTGCTACGTGAGAGACCAAAAGTAGAAGCAAGAGAAGTAGAGTGCCAGATGGCACAAGGAAATCAAGGAGGATAAGGAAAAGGGTGAGTTGGAAAGTACTGTTCAAAAGGGAACAGTAAATCCCCCCCCTTATCATGGAGGCTTATAGAGGGGACTACACTAAAACCAAACAGCACACTGGTATACAGTATTCGTTATACTGTATTCGGATTTCCAACACTCCCCCTTGCTGTAGGTTTTAGTGAATCCGTTTTCCTTGGAGGATGGGGTGGTCGAGGTGGTGTACCACCACAAGGTAGGGGTGCGCCCAAACCAAGCTAGGGTTTGGTGGTGGCCAAGCTGCTCGTCACTGTAGCACCTTTCCCCTCCCAAGCCTTTGGTGCTTTCAAACTCCAACCAAACCTCCTCCCTTGATGTTTTCCAATCCCTCCTTCCACTGGCGACTTTCCAGATCTAGATACAGCGCGTAGTGGCTGCTACTGAGGAAATAGTAGCAGCTCCATGACGAAATCTCCTCGTAACCATGGCGAAATGCGTAGATCGTCATGGCGGATTGCCCTTAGCGCACACCGAATTTCCGAAACCGTCAACTTTACGTCACGCGATTGTCAGCGCTGCTGTCTTTTTCGCATGCCTCCTGTGCGACGACAAAAAACACCGCAGCGGATGTGCGCCTGCGACGACTGCTGATGACGCGAACTGGTAGCGAATAACGCGTGACGTGCGGCTGGCGCAGGCAGGCGTACACGGCGTGCGGGAGAAGCGACGGCTTAGCGGCTGACGATCTGCTGCGCGTCTGCTACACCATTTTCCTGTCCGTGCTTGTTGTATCTTCGTGTGTCGTTTCTCCCCCTGGCTTCCTGCTCTGCCTTTGCCCTTCTCCCCCTGCCTCGGGATGCGATGGCATCAGTTTGTGCAAGTCTTGAATGCACACCACCAGATGATGCTAAGTCTGCCCGAACTTCACCCATGTTGTCATGTGATGCTCCCCCTACACTCCAGATGTATGGGAGCCGCTGGAGTTGCGGAACTTCATCAGCTCGAGTTTGCACATTTCGACGCAAAGCGGGATGACAGGTGCGCTCCAAGTGTGCAGAAATGTGTACGCCAAGGCTGCAGTGCACTCCAGGTGAGCAGTTGTATGCACCCCTGGTATGCAGTAACGCCAAGTAGGTATGCAGATATGTGCACACCAAGTAGACCAGGTATGCCGGAAACTGTGCTCCCGTGTATGTTCTCCGTATGGTGAGTAGGTCTTCCCCGTATGCTTTGTGACCCCATGTCCCAGTTTAGTGCCACTAGATACACTCGACACCCAACCCCCCCCCCCCCCCCCATGTGCTTGTAGGCATGCACGTAACCGCGTACACAGCTACAAGCACGTGAGTGAGTGTGGAGTTAGGTGACGCCATGTGGTGCAGCACCGCTTGAAGAGGCCGCACAAGTGAGCACAACATCAGCATTCTTGACATGGCGAATGTCTCCAGATGGTACACCAGGGGGAATTGGTTGAAGCCCACTCAGAACACTGCAGGTGAGATGCTGCTTGGAGGTGACCGGTTTGGTAAGGTAATCGGCTGCTTGCTTGGTTGTTGGACAGTACTCCAACCATACCACGCCATCACGCATTGCTTTACGGGTCCAGTGGTAACGCACCTCCATGTGCTTGGTGCGCTGACTCATTTGTTCCCCTTTTCCAAGGGCAATCGCACTCTGGTTATCCACATAAAGAACTGTGGGTTCTCTCTGTGGAAAGCCAAGGTCGGCACACAGTCGCCGCAGGTGAGCTGCTTCCCTTGCTCCTTCAAACATGGCGATGTACTCAGCTTCTGTTGTGGAGGTAGCGATGACCGTTTGCCGTTTCGTCCTCCAGCTGACAGCAGCTCCCCCCAGCGTAAACACATAGCCGCCCACCGAGTGACATCCAACCTCATTTGCATAGTCAGAGTCTGTGTATCCACGAAGCACCAAGTCTCCCTCTCCATAAACCAATCCAATCTCAGCCGTATTCTGCAGATACTGGAACACACGCCGAATTCCGAGCACAGTTGTTGCCGTTGGCTTGCTGGCCTGTCTGGCGAGCACATGCGTGGCAAAGGTGATGTCTGGCCTTCCTGCTGTAGAGACATATAGCAGCGCCCCAACCTGCTGCATCACCCGCTGATTGTCCACCTCTTCAGGTGACTCCCCCTGAGGTCCAGGTTCCTTGGAAATCGGCGTTCGTACTCCAGAGCGGCACTCCTCCATCCCATAGTTTGCCAACGCTTGTTTGATGTACTTGGTGAGTCCCAATGATATGGTGTTGCGGGAAGTAGTAACATTCAAACCCAGAAATTGTGTCATGGTCGAGTTGACGGTCAAGGTGAAGTTGTCCTTCAAGTGTTGAATGACTGCTTGGATGCCTTCCTCATCATTAGACTGAATGAGGATGTCATCCACGTAAGTCAGCAGCCACACCGTATCTTTTCCAGCCCTCCTCCAGATGAACAGTGATGGATCAGACTCCGACTGCATCATTTCCAGCTCCAGCAGTACTCCTCGTAAGTGTTGATGCCACAATCGAGGTGCTTGTTTCAGCCCATAGACGCTGCGCCTGAGCTTCCAAACCTTGTCTCCATCACGTCGAGGTTCAGGTGGTTGCACGTACACATCTCTGTCAATTGGTGCATAAAGAAATGCGTTGGAGATGTCCAGCTGCACAACTTTCCGCTTCGTTGTTGATGCGCCTGCAACAAACATGCGTGAAGTAGGTCCTTGGCTGACCGGGGCGTATGTCTCATCATATGTTCCCCACGTCTGTCCACAGCCTTTCACCACCCACCGTGCCTTGAACCTGCTTGGCTGGCCTTTGTCATCTCGTTTGACCCTGAAGATAATTCCCTCCGTCAACACCGGGACTCCCTTTGGTACGTCCGCCCTGTCCACCACTTCATACGCTCCCAGCTCGTCAAATTTGGTGAGCTCCGTGTTGACTGCCGCTTGCCAAAAAGGTGCGTATGGATCCGTGGTCAGTTCTTTGAGTGACTTTGGCTCTTTGTAGGTCAGGTCGACCATGGGCACAGTCGCAGCTGCACATCCCAACACGTGTTGCTGTAAGCTGGGAAGGCTGTTGACTCCTTGTGGCATGTCTTCCTTAGTCCACATGACTTGCCCTGCTTGACGCTTTCCAAGTAGCACGTCCAGCCCTGTTATGCGGTGCGCAGCTTGCCCTTCTTCTCCGAGCACAGTTACAGTCGGATCAAAGTGAACTCGTCGTTGTGGTGCACCTTGTTCGGTCAGTGGAATTCCTTCAGGTGGGTAGGCAAAGTCATAAAGGTGACATGTCTCGTTCTCCATGCCATGGTCGTCCCCGTTCTCTGAAATAGAAACACCTGCCGCAGGTATGTCATTGGTTGCAGCTCCACTTGAATCAGCTGCGTCGGCTGCAGGTGAGTCCTTGTCCATTCCTCCAGCAGGGGTACTGCATACTTGGTGTCCAGTTGGCATATCGGTTGATGACGCGGAAGAGGATGGGGAGGACGGAAAAGGATCGAACTCATGCTCAATTTCTTCTCCCCCTGAAGTCCACTCCGCAACGTGGGGTGAGACTTCATCGACATAGCGTTGACGTTCGAGGAGAGATTCTGCGTCCGGCAACATGAGGTCATCAAAGAAGCGAGCAGACCGAGTGTCCGTGTCCACGTCACTTGCCATGTCCCGCACGATCCACGCTTTCCGAACGTTGGAGATGCCGAGGAACATGCCAGCTCGGCCTCTCTGCTCAAACTTGCCAAAGCTGCCTTGTGGAGGAAGGTAATAGCAGAGGCAGCCAAAGGTTCGTGCCATGGACACGTCCGCAGGTTTCCCCGTCATCATATAGTACGGTGAGTGCGCAGATGGGTTGCTGCTGCAGCTGATGCGGTTGTGTAACCATGTAGCGTACTCAAGCGCGTACGGCCAGAAGGTGGAGGAGAGGCTGGCCCCGGTAGTCATGGTCCGCACTTTGTCCATGAGTGTGCGGTTAACCCGTTCCGCGACTCCATTCTGCTGAGGGGTGTGC